ATATTTTCAAAGTCAACCATTTCATATCGAGATCTACTCTTTCTTAGCAACTTTTCAAAATAATTTTTTAAAATATAGGGTACAACACTCAAGTAGAGCATAACATATCATCCAAAAACTTATAGACAAATAGAAGTGGTAAATTGATGTTTATAAATGTACCATAAATGTTTTTCTAATGATAAACCTAGCCACTGGTACAAGCTCTTACAATTGGATGAGTTTTGCATCAACATATCCTTTCATTCATCCATAAAAGTGACTCCCTTCTTTGCACTATATGGCCGCCCTTCACCAACTATCCAAAACTTTATTTCAGGATTTGTAACACCGGATTATCTTGATACCACTCTAAATATCATAGAATATATTTTAACCATGTTAAAGAAAAACCTAAAAAAAAGTAGATGGAAGCTCAAGTAATAAGATTAAAAAAATTGGATTTTACTTATGAAGTTGGATACTTGGTCCTTCTTCAGTTATATCCCAAATATCATCCAAAAGAGTTTTCGACCCCTTTGTTGTGAAAATAATGGTTTGGAAAAGTGGCTTGCGAACTAGATCTACCCCCTCTGCAAGAATACTCCTGATGGTACATGTTTCTTTGTTAAGACCTTAGTTTAGGGAAGACTTCAACAACGATTTTTATTCCTTTTCAAAGAAAAACAGTGATTAGTTTGATGAAGGAAAATAAAAATATAAGATGTCGTCCAAAAAATTTAATAATGAATGTTATGGAGTTAAAGTTAAAACTCTCGATACTATTTTGTAGAAGAAAAACATAGAAGAAAAAAAATCCAAGTGGAACTCTTGAAGGCATAGAAGAGGAAGTAAAATCTATTTAAGTGATATGAAGTGGTGAACTTATTGATACCCACACTGAGTCACTTAAAAATTTTACTTTTAGGGGAAAAAATTCCATACTGCTAAACGAGATTAAATCTTAACCATTTGATCTCAAAAATACTAACTTATCATCAATTATCATTAGTCCAACGATTATGTCTCCACAATCGAACAATCTGATCTCCTTCATCACATGTTCATCAATACACAATAGATAACTAAGCACCACCATATGATCAAAACCATGATAAATCAGACGGTCATGATCTTTCCATGCGCACACTTGCTCCGCGTTAGTCAAAGGCCCCATCCAAGACTAACACATGCCTATCATATCCCCTTAATACTACTGACATATGATCCCCCTACCTCTCACTTTGGCCCTATACACATATAAGGTTGAACACACACTTCACCATGCTTTCCCAAGATTCTCCCTTACCTCTTAAGCCTTTATCTTCACCTTTAATTTACTTTCCACTTATTCACGTTAATCCAAAACTATCCATTCAAACACAAATCTCACCTACTCTAATAGTAAACTCGATTACCCCCCATTTAATTTAAACTAAAGTTATCCTAAATACTCCATTTTCCATACTGACACACTACAATACAAAAGGACGAAATTCCTGCACCAAAGGACAAAAATTTAGCACCTTCCCTCCTTACACGCCAGCCTATATGAGTCAGGATCCTCTCCATTCCTTTGAAGAAATGGAGAATGCCATTACCAATATTTTCATTGTATAAAAATCAAAATATACAAAATATATGTCACACATTTCAATAGTATAAATGCATTATATCCTAATACTTTAGTAACGACACTCTCTATTTCTTTGAAGAAATGGAGAGGATCTCAACTCAGCCTATACTCCTTTTTCCTCTCTACCATTGGATTTAACAACTTTTTCCTCTAAATACTCTTAACCACATTATCCAAATTCACCACCATTCAAATTTGAATTTATTCATTAAGACAAATTTGAATTTCCCTCCAAAAGTATACCAATCAGTATGATGTTACCACTTGTCACACGTTCAACAGTTTTTTGAACCAACCACACCAGACCACATATTACTACTGTTGAACCTTAATGATAAGGTTCTTATTGGGCCCCATTATATTGATGAGAAGATTAAAATGAAGCTCAATAAATCCACTAGAGAAAGAAAAAGATCAATCTTGCTAAAATATTTTTATTCTTATTAAAGGGGTGCAATTAGTATTATTCCCTACTTTACTAGTTTTATGTTGTCTCCAAAAAAGGACCATGTCCCATCTATATTTCGAAAACCCTAGCTATTTGTATTTTAAGGCTGAAGTTGTGTTAAATAATTAAATTTTTTATGTTTGTTTTTATGCATTTTTCCATTGCAACTTAGATCTACATTTTAATCTTTTCTATAATATATCACTTTCAAGGCATCAAATTAACATAAGATAAGGCATGAACCATCAAGAGAAAATCTCATTCAACCCACAAATGATTTCAAATTTTGGAGGGAACAATCTTTATGGAGAAAATAACTACTTTATTTTTAACATGAAGACAATTGGCTATACAAATATTGGAAGAAAATCCATCGAGACAAGTACCAAGGTGACTTATAAAAGTTCCTCCATAAGTATAGATACCAAGAGGCCCTCTAGAAACAACCACTGAATTGCATTTGATTCAATAAGATGATGACATGATCCAGTTGATCTGTCTGATTATAGGAGGAAAAGGAGGAACACGAGGAGAAGAAGGATGAGGAGGATAACATTGAACATTAAAATGTTTAAAAATAACAAAGTCTTGTATGAATGAGTACATATGAGTTTTCATGTAATTATCTTATTTTCGAAATATAATTTCAATGTAGATCGAATTATGATTAAACTTAGAAGAAATGTTTTGGAATCTCAATTTATTTCTATTCTTCTAAAGATTCCGAAGGATATAAGCTATTTTAGCCATGATAAGATCATGAAGTTGGGAGCTCTAACCTCTATCAACTATAGACAAAAGGGATTTCAAATAAAATAGTTCATTTACATCCCAATAAATTGAGAGAGCCATTTCTAATGTTTAAGGATAAATGGACATTGAAAGAACAAATGAGGTTTAGTTTCATAAGCTTTCCCATAAATATTACAACTTGAAATTGTAGCACATCCTCTATTGATTAAACTATCATCAATTGATATGTCATTATGCAAGACTCTCCTTAAAACTAGAAACTTAGTAAGTGGTATACGAGAATTTCGTATATTCTTAGTCCAATTAAGCTCAGGAAGGGAAATAACATTGCAAATGAAACAACTTTAAAAGATAGAGAACCAAAAGTAAAAGTGCACCAAATTAATTCATCTGACTCAAGAGAAGAGAAAATATCAATAAATATTTTTTCCTATGTCAAGGTATAGCAGAATAAAAAATATTAGGGATATTCTAAGAATTTTGAGGAATAACATTAGCTCTCCCTTCTCTTTAGGAAATTCCCCCCAAAACTTTTAGGGTTTGGTGGCTGCCTCCCACCTATAGGGTGGTTTCGTCTCCCACTTATATAGTGGTTATCTCATCTTATATGAAAAGTTGTACCCCCTCCATACAACTACACTCTCATACTCTTATTAGAACTAACTCACTCATCGGTCTCTCTCTCTCCCTCTCTCTCCTCTCTCTCCACCATGAACCACTACCAAGCCTCTCTTTCTATTGATACGGTCACCACCAGAGCCACCACCACTAAGAAATGGATGGTTTTTTAAGGTTGTTCTTAGCATCTCAAACTTAACATTTGTGCATGTAACTAACTCACTTCTCTATAGTTGCTCTCAGACCTATGATGTTTGAAGCCATTCGTCTACCTCCAAATTCTTCATGGATGTTCAAAGCTAAACATTTACTTCATCAATTTGATTTATTTATATTTATTTTTGTGTTTTCTATTTCGTGCTATTGTCTTTTAGGGTCTAAATTTACACTTTTCATGTTTGACATTATGTCTCAAAAGAGTTTCGTGCCCTTGAGAAACTTAGTGTGTTATAATAATTGACATCTCAAAGTGATTGAAGAAGCTTATGAGTCCAACACTCATTACAACACGATCTCTAGTCGTCACTTAATTATTGAACAATCGATAAAATTAGACAACTTTGAAACCAAAGATAATTGAAATATGCAAACACAAATCAAAGAAACCGTCCTTAATTGAGTTTGGAGAAGACCGTAGATTAATTCTCATTTCTATAGTTATTGATCTTGTTCTTAAAGAAGTGAATAGGTGGATGATATGTTGTTTTTTTTGTTTGTCTCTCCTTAAATTGTGAACAATCTATGTGTATGATTATATATACTCTCTTAGAATTACTTCTAGACTGGGGTATGCCCTATTTCATTTTGCTCATAATATGTGTAATACTTATTGGTTTACTAATTAATAAAATTGTGTTTGTTGTATAAGAAAACATTAGTTATGGTGAGACTTTGATCAACTGTCTCAACCAATTGACATATTGCACATTTAAAATTGCTAATTATTTTCAACTCTGGGTTTTGTATTCATTTAAATGGTTTACGATTGTATTTGTCTTACGCATAGTAAATAAAAGAATTTTAAAATATATTATTTCTGTCCCTAAATATTAGATTATGTTGAGTAAATTGCAAGAATTAAAAAAATTTGTTAGAATAATAAATATATTGACTATTTTATATAATTTTATAAATTTATCTTTAAGAGAGAGAAATAGTTAATGTACATGTAATTATATTTATTATATATTGTAAAAACATATCTAAAACTCAAAAGAATCTTATAATTATAATTAAGAACAGAGATAGTAATTTTCTCTTTGCAAAATTGCCTCATTCACTCGAATCGTTCTTTTATTTAAATTGAATAGGCCATAAGGACCAATAAGTTGAACTTGAATGTAAAAGTTCGACTTTTGTCAATAATAGAGTAAAACTTATGAGCAAACCGAGTTACATGAGTCATAAATAAAATTCATCATTCTCAATTTTTACATTGAAATTTACTACCAAACAAACCATCCATAAAGTAAACTAGGCTCTTACATTCAGTCACTAGCAAAGATAAATCAAATCAAAGTTTGCAAATGTACATTACTGTCATATTATGTATGAACTATGAACATATTATAACTCAAATGAACCCGAACCCGAACCCGAACCCGAACCCGAACCCGAACCGGTTGATGAAGAAGATTGACGCACCACACAAGCAACCATCTTTGCCCATTGTTTCAACCGATTCTTCTTCGCAGGCGAATCATCAGCTTCATAACAAAATTCAAAACCACTTTCACTCAATATTTAATGTTAAGTATAGCAGATTAAATAAAAACCCTAATTTTTTACTTCAATTATAATAAATAATGAAACAAATAAAACCTAATGAAAAGTGTTGTAAAGTAACCACTTAATTACCTGGATTAAATATGGTGGTGGTGTTCGCAATGCCGCAATCAGAGACAGTGGAAGATGAAGAAGAGGATCGAGACAAGCTATGATCATTGAACTGTTTATTAACAGCATGATAGAGCTCCAAAGCAGGTATAGTCTTGGATAATTTCGGGCCACTTTCAGGCGAATCAAAGCCGAAGCCGAGTTCGAAACAAGCTTTGAGTTCTTGTAAATCATCCTCAGAGACACTCTTGGTTAGCCGACGGGTGCTACTGCGGCTCACGTGATCGTGCTTTCGTCTCCGCCATGCTTCTTCTCGAAGCATATCGGGTGACCATGTCGCATGTTTGTAGAGCCGTGAAGGTGGCCGCGAGTTCGTTGGTTTCGACATAACGATGCGGATGAGGATGATGATGATGATGATGATGATGAGATTTTGTAATCTAATATTTCTTTTATGTAATTAAACTCATTTTAATTTTAGTGACTTAATTGAATAATAATAATAGTATTGTGTAAATTTATTTTACACTACTATTTAATAGAGTTATAATCTATGTCATATCAGTATTTTATAACTATTTAATATTTTATAATAAGTAAAGAAGTTGTTCACATTATTTAAATATAGAAAAATATTTATTAATAAGAAAATACTGCGAACGTAAAAAAAATTAAAATTAAATCTCAATCATTCATTATTATTATTATTATAATCTTTTAATTTCTATTAAAAAAAAATTTAAAATTATTCTCTAAAATAATGATATATATAATTTATCTTTTTTATTTAAATGATTCTTAATACGTTGCATTACTTTTAATATATTATTTTAAAGAAAATTAAAATAAAGTCAAAGGTTTTAATTTTATCAAGGCTGTGATTAATGGACAGTAGTTTTATTCAAATTGAAACTATATATTGTTGATTTTAGGAATGAAGAATTTTAGAAAGGAAGGAACTTATTTGTTTCATTACAATTTGTTATATAAGGCAAAGTATCTTAGGTTTTTAAGATTTTACCAATACCATCGATATAAAGTTGAAAATTTATTAATACCAAAAAACTAAGTAGAATGTTTTTTAAATAAGAGGAAGGATATGAATTTTTATATAAGAGCAAGGTTCAGTGTATCTAATTAAATCAAAATATACTTGTATTTAGGATTTTTTTTAGGAGTAATTTATATAATTATTTTATAATTTTTTAAAAACTATTTTTTTATAAATATCAAAATTTTGTTTATATTAAATATAAAAGTTATTGTGGGAGATTAAGTTAGAGATATTTAAAATCAAGTCGATTTAAGTGAAAATCGTTAATTAAACCAAACCAAATCGAAAATTACAAAAACAATATTTAGTTAGGATGTGTTTGAGTTATTTTTTAACAAAACGACAAAATTTGATTTATTTAGCGATTTGTATTTTACAAATCGAACTAAAACAAATCAAACTGCAGTATGTTACAAAATCTTACAAATCATTATATATATTTTTAATTCTTTAAAAAAATTAACAAATATCATATATATATATATATATATATATATATATATATATATATATATATATATATATATATATATATATATATATATATATATATATATATATATATATATATATATATATATATATATATATATATATATATATATATATATATATATATATATATATATATATATATATATATATATATATATATATATATATATATCTATTAATTTATAAATACTATTAATTTTACTTAAAATGAAATAACCATATATTTATCTTTTTCTATTTAAAATTTGTTAACATTGATAAGGATAAGATTAAAATATATTTAATGTACATTATTTTTGCATCCTTTTATGTATAAAATATAATAGTATTTTAAATTTATTTAAGAATACAATTTTATGTATCTTATTTATTAGATATAAGATAAAATTGTAAGACGTAATTCATATTTATCCATTAAATTATAAATTTATTTGAATAATAAATTTATTTTATGATGATATGTATGAATGACTAAATATAAAATTATAATGAAAATTGGAGAATGAATAAGAACTATCAGATTTAAAAAGGAAATGTTGAGATTAAATTGTGATTTTCACTAAATCATATGTCATTAAGAGGAGAGAGATATCTTTAATTAAAATTTAAAAATATCTTTTAAAACTGCACTGGTTTGATTTGGTTTTATTTTTAAAAGTCAATCAAACCAAACCGAATTGCATATTTTTTTCTCTTGAGATTTGGATGACTTTTAATATCAAAATCATCCAAATCGCATTGTGATCACTCTTAGATTAAGGGCATGTTTGTTTCAGCTTTAAAAAATGAATATTTTCTTTGTATTTTAAAAAATAGATTTTACAAAACCATTTTTTAAATTATTACAAGTTTTTTTATATTCGTTTTTTTCAAATTGAAACACTAATTTTGACCTCCTATAATATAATTATACATCACTGAAGACTAACACATATTTAAAATCGCAATTTTTTAATAAAAAAAATTTTAAAAATTTTTTTTTTAGGAAAATCTATTTGAAATAGCTTTAAAATTAAGTGATTTTTTTGAAATTTTGATATCCAAAAAATATTTCAATAAGAAGATGAAATACCTAAAATAACATTTTAAGTACAATTATTCAAACTAAATTTTTATTTGAAGATTTTATGAAAAGTTTGTTTGCAATTTTTTTTATACAAAAAAACATTTAAAAAAAATCAAAACAAACAATCCTAAATTATAGACCAATCGTTTATATCAACTTAATTCAATTATTACATAACAATTGAGTTATTCTACCGATCCAAAAATTATTTTATAATTTAATTTAATTTAATTTAATTTAAATTATAATTTTTGTCTTTTTAATTTCACCTCATTCATCTAATAGATTTTTCTATTTTAAATTCAAACAATTTTGATATTTTCTTTTATTTTAACAATGAAAATGAATATCATGTCTGTTTTTTAATGATTTATAAAATAGTATTTTTTACCTTTTAAATATTACAAAGGTTTTTTTAATTTTTTTCTACATTTTTGCGTTGAAAATCAATGATGTCTTTGTTTTTTTAATAATCTGTAAATTATATTTTTTGTCTTTAAAGGTTTACAAAAATGTCTGTATATTTGTCAAATTTACATCACTAGTTTTAAGTGCACAAATATAAAAAAGAAACTAAACTATTTAAACTTGAAATAAAAGAACTATTTCTCACAATGAAGTAATATCAGAGGATAGTTAAATCTAATATTTTAAAAATTGTATCGAATTGAAGAGTCTAATCAGTCAGACCAGTAATTAAAGAATCACGGATTTTTCTGGTTGTTCGATTATACATGCTATCGAATCAGTGTGAATCAATCAGAACTGGCCAAAATCGGTAAATATCGATGAACTGACAGTTTTGGAAAAACAAAGAGTTAAATGCATGTTTTTTCTTTAGACAAAACAATGTCGTTTTTATAATTCATTTAAAAAAAGGATTAAATACCTTCTACTCCTGTAATAGTAGCGAGATTTGATTTACCCCTCTTTTAAAAAAAAACTTTTTGCTCCTCAACAAACATAGATTCTATAACCAAAAATATTTTACCCAAAGATTTCATTAAAAATGCAGACGTGGCCAGGACCTATTTGCTGACTGTCTCATGTATGCCACCTTGGTTGTGAAAGCCGCTCCCCCTTGTTTCACGCTCCTTCTCCCCTGTTTTCTTCTCTCTCACGCTTAACAAAACTTTTTCTTTACTCCCTCTATTTTTTTTGCTCAAAGAAACACAACACCAACTTTTCATCTTCTCACTCTCAAACGAAATACTCCCTTCGTCGTTTCTTCTGCTATTCTTTCCTTTGTTCCCATCTATACTTATCTATGAATGAAACAACAAAAACAATGTTTGTTTTTCTGAGTAACAAACTCCCTCCGCTCACGACTCTCGGTCTCTCTCTCTGCTTACTCTCTCACGATTCTATTAATTTCACAAAACTCTCTTGCTCGCTACCTCACGGTCTCTCTCAACTCGTGGCCTCTAATCTTTGTCATGCTCAAACTTCTCAAACAAAAGCTTCACTATTCTCTCTTCCTCCGCGGGTCTCTCACGACCTCGTTCTCTCAATAACAACAAACAGAAACAAATTCACAACTTTCAAATAGCAAACAGAATCATATAACAAATATGACTAAAAGGAAAAGGGAAGGATTGTGATTTACCTACCGGAAGCAAACTCCGGAAGTTTCTTTCGATCGATGAAGAGGTTGAAAAAACCAGTTAACTTCATCTTTTCTCTTCTTCCTTTAATGAGATGCTGGATTTAAATGTTGCAACATGTTCATTTATTGTCAATGCTTGTAGAATCGTTGTTATAGAGGTTGCAGATCGATTGGTGCAAGGTTGTTGCTATCCCACTTTTTCTTTCTTCTCTTCTTGTTGTTTATGCGTTTTATTGTGGTTTATGTGGAGTATTGTGTTCAAAAGAATGAAACAGAGGTTGTGATGATGATGTTGTGCAATGAAGTTGTGGTTTGAAAGTTGTTGAAGGTTGGATCGATGTTGAAGGATGTAAGATTGATATGTCAGTTATAAAATAGATATGCCACAGTGGCATACATGACGCATTCAGCAAACAAATCTTGGCCACGTTTGCATTTCAAATGGAATTTTGGGCTAAAAGGTTTTTGGGTATTGTTGTACCCCAAAATTTGCCCTCCCATATTTCTCAAAATATTTCAAGAAAAATTCACAAGTCCAACCCGGCGCATCATATTCAGGTGTTCTTTCACCAAGATATCTCTGATAACGTATTCTCAAATTCAGGTTCGGCTCAAGAGTCAATTATTTAAAGAAGGTATCCGAATGTGTGAGTTTTCTTGAAGAAATATGGTGAAAAGTGTGCTGAAAGTGCAGTTTTTATGCGTTAAAAAATTCATAACTTGAAGATCGTGACTGGTTTTGAACCCGTTCCGGTGGCCAAAATTCTGTCTTGACATTATCTACGTTTTCATCTCTCACGGATGGAAGCCAATTTCGATCAGAAGGTCTACAAAAATGTGGATTTATCAAGTATTTTCATACCGAAAATTTGTGACAGAAGTTTATTTGCATCATGTTCAGAAAATCATAACTTGGTCGATTTTTATCGTATCGAGCTGGTTCTGGCGCCAAAATTTCACAAATTGAGTTGGCTACATTTTCACAGAAGGTATTGAGTTCAAACAGTATTCAAAAGCCCTTCGTTGTTTGCTCAGAGTGCGTGACACGCCAAAAATCCTGAATGCTGAATATTATTTCATCTGGGCCGAAACTTCGGAAATTCATAACTCGGTCAATTTTTATCGGATTGCGCTCATATTTTTACACAAGGTCACTGACTCATAAAT